TCACTGAAGGAGAGGTTGAACAAAGTTAGCTATGAATGTCTATTTATATCTAAAAGAGATACATCTTACAGGTGTCACATTTTCTTTAGCGACGGTGTGATGTTAAGCAGCATTTCACAAAAACTACTCCTAACCTATTTCTTTGAAATTTTGTGGAGGGGTGGGGCATTACCTGAGGAAGAACACAGTAACTGTTGCAGAAATAGAATATAAAATTATCCTAGTGATGTTTTCACTGGTGTATTTCATCTAAATTGTATGAATTGTTGTTTTCTTTACTATAGAATGGGCTCTTTATATTTACATGGAGGGGGGGTCCTCTCTGTGGAGGCCGCCATGTTTGTTATTGTCGTCCAAACTTGGGGAGCAGTCATGTCGTACACCTTTATATACAGTCTACGCTTTTACTGTATGTTTCTCTGGGCTATATATATATATATATATATACAGTATATATATAAAGATACAGCTGAGCTAAATCACAATAAGAAGGTGTAGAAAGAAGCACATGAATAGAATCAGTCTCTCTTGCTGGTTCATTTGTTTGTGTAAGTCTGTGTGCATGTCAAGCCTAATGTTGCAGGGAACTGTTTTACTCTAACGTCTGTGGGGTCTCTCTACGGCCATGATTTAAAATAAACACTTTCTTTATCCTTAATATAAAATATAAAGCTTTATAATGTCATACAATTAAATATCAAATTTGGCATCCTTACATGTTCCTTAAAGTTTTGCATGAATTTGAGACTACATTTCCCAGGAACTGGGTTTCACTCATCCCACGACCTGTCACTTACAGAAAGTCTGAAAAGCTTTAGATGCTGTGAAAACAAAGCCCTCATCCAAACAAGCAAGTTAATCTTTGACTAATTCTGACAAAGTGCCACACAATAGATAAAGCAGAAATCTCATCTGTGTTTGAAGAAGTGACTTTGATGATTATGCCTTTAACAGATTTGCTATATGTGACGTCACTGATTTTTCCTGATATTTGTTTCTCCATGATTTTGCGTTCTTTGAAACCACTGGCCTTTAAGACAATACTTGGGGCATCTCTTATTATTATATCATATGACTGTCAGCCTTTATCAGCCATTCATTCAGTCATTCTGTAGAGGAAGAAAAGGGTCCTCAAGGCAAATAGCTGAAAAATCCAAAGAAAGAAAGAAAGACAGCGGTTGGAGGACAGCGGGCTCTGTATGCCAGATATGGATTGGGACATCAAACAGACTGCTGGTCTTCAGGAGAGTCAGAGCTACGCAGAGATCATTTCTCAAGGTTATGCACTCGTATAAGTGATGAAATAGTATTTTAATCCAAGGACATGATTGACGGTCTTTCTTTCATTTTGTCAGTGTGAATATTATATCAGGGCAGACTCATATTTTCTCTACATTTGCTCTTAAAAATCAAATATACTCACATTTTAGAAATGAGATAGTTTTTAGTGGCCTACCAGAGGAGCAATCGTTTGACCGTTTTGAGGTTTAATTTTGTACAAAGTAAAAAAAGTACTCCAGCATTGCAGCAGTCTTATTTGTCATGTGCTTTTTCCGCCACGGGTTAAATAAATGACAAGGCTTTGGTGTTTTCACTTTGCTCGGCACAGAGGGGAGAGTGTCACACAACTCTCTGTGGGATCACCACGACAGACGGACAGCAGACGGACAACTGGACTGTAATTATTAAACAGAGAGGCAGGGAGGAACAGAGGCTGACGGTTTAAGGCGGACTGATGCACAAAGAGAGAAGCAGGCTTGTAGACGGATAATAAGGTAGACAGACAGAGATAGTTACCAGAGCAGCAGATGGATGGGCAAAAAGACAGGTCGACAAATAGCAAGGCAGCCAGAGTGACGGCTCGGAAACACCTTAAACTAGCCTCCGCTCTACCAATGAATTTCCAGGACTGTAATTCTATTTGTGTGTTCCCTAAATGCGAGGACTAAAGGAATATGAAAAAAAATGTCACCCTACTTACTCTATTTCTTCCCTTTTTCATTAATTTGATTGGCAGACTATAGAGCGGATGGGAGTAAGGGCTTGTAGTTGCTGTGGCAACGGCCTGCTCTTTGTTAAAGGCTACATTCCTGGCATCTGATGTGTCTGCGCGGCGATCGATAAAAACCCAGCCTGCAGGGACTGATGAACGGACTAGGGCTTTTGCCAGGCCAGGCAGGACTGGAGAGAGAAAAGGAGTTAGGTGGAAGATGTGCGAACAGGAGGACGGAGAGATAAAACAGGGATAGATAGAAGAAAGAGGGAGAGAGGGGAGATACGGAGATGCGAGCAGTGCTGCTGCTGTTGCTGAGCCGGGCGGAGGGGTGAGTGCTGTGGGAGGAAAACGAGTGAGCAGGTGTGTGTGTGTGTGTTTGTGTGTGTGTGTGTGCATGCATGCTCCGCAGCTCCTTCATCTCAGCTATTTTCTGAATGTCACTCACTTCACTATCAAAGTAAAGCATGTGTCTGTCTGTGTGCTCATCATCTGCTTACCTTGGCAGGATCCTACTTTGCAGTGATTGACAGAGCTCTGCGAGCAGCCGAAAAAGCTTTTTAAATGCGCCTTTCATATTTCATGCATTTTCTCTGCGCCTTTACGATCGTGCATTCAAATTTCCTCCACTTGCAGACGTGTCTTATGTTTTGCACATCTAATTGGCAAAGATAGCCACGAGCAGAATACAGATACTACTGGTAATGAGGCAATTATGGTCAGCCGCTCTTTCTGCGTAGCCATCTGTCAATTCAACAACCTGTGGCTGCTGGTTTTCTGTCAAGGTCCGTGCCATTCTGAGCTGTGGAGAGACATGGCTTTCACAGAACATAATGTTCAACAGTTGAACTCCTTTCGCTCATGACCCCGTCGTTATCTCATCTCCCCGTAACACCCTCCTACCACACGCACACACGTGGCTACAGTGGCTGTGGATTGGAGCCATGTGTATGAGCAAAATGTAAAAAGAAAGCCAGGAAGCAACACCCACAGATCCAATTCATGAAATGTGCAAGAAATGACTAAATTACTGTATCACTGTAAATTGTACTAACTTCTCCATATGCTCCACAGCTCTCTTCAACCCACTGGAGTAAAGTAATGGTGGCACGAAGTTACTCTCATCTTATCTGTGACTTGTAGAGTCATAACATCGTCATCAGCTGCTGCCTTTGCTGTTTGCTATTGAGAGAGTGGTTGCAGTCATGTTGTGTTTCTCCATACTGTATAGATTAGAAATAAAATGAATTTAACATGAGATAAAACTTCACTGATTGCTGTTGGAAAAGCCTTTCATGAAAAAAGCTAAAAAAAAAATACCAAGCAGTGTAAGGAAACTGGAAGAGTGATGAAGAAACCGTAGCCAGGATTATGTAAATTTATGCATGTGTTATTTTTCTTGAATTTATTGCTTGCTCTCCTCTGATTTAATATCGAATTCAGGCAATCTGACTTCTGTGACCTATTCTGGTATCTGATTTACACATTAGATCAACATATTATACCTTTCTGTAATCCTTAAGATGTTTTCGAACCACTTCAGCAGAAAGAATGGAGATATCATACTGAGAGGAGACATGACACAGCTTTTAGTGTTCTTTGTGCCAAAAAAGAAAACTCTGCCAGAGTTTGATAATCTGGCAAAGGTCACTTTGTTATTTGGGACACTTGTATTAGACTTTAATAAAAAGCCTAAACCACTTTGCTTTATTCATGCCGAGTTAAATCCTACCAATTTTTAAGCATTATGAAAAAAGGACAGAAAGCTGAATAAGAAAATGTATTTTATTCAAAGAAATGCCATTAACTCATATAACCGTATAACAGTCCTATTTTTTCATAAAGAACTATCTTAAATTTAAACATTCTATTAAATTTTTCTATTCTTATCATTTTATGGATTCAAATTTAATCAACAGCAAGCAAAAATAGACAAACTGTATTTACCATTAACTCCTGTCTGACAACTGCAGATCCTCTGCTACATCATTACTTTATCTTTTTTTAACTTCATATTTCCCCATTTAGAGAATTTAGCTGACTGTCCCAGATTAGCCAAAGCATGCTGTCCGACATTATCAATCAGATTTGATGAAAAATCTAAACATAATTTGATAACAATTAGGAACACTGTCTTATTTATGACACATTTATATTCTTTACATTCATCTTGTCAGAATCTTATGTCATTGACCTTGTCGTACAATTCCAAGGGGGAGCTTCTGATTGACATTTGCCCCATCTCTTTCTGTGACATGACTACCATGCAAAATTATATTAAATATCCTGTTGAATATATTTTGTTGGATGTCCCAGACTACCCCAATTCACCCAATTATATATATTGATACACAGTGATACATACATTCACGCTTAAACACAACATTTTTGCATCATTAAGAAATCCTATATGTTCAGTTCCATTCATCCTATACTGGAGTTATGTGGGTCAAGCCAATGCTGCTGTAATCTCTGTGGACTGATTTACAGATATTTCCTGTTTAGTTTGACGCTTGCCACATGTTCCATTTCCTACCCACCCCACCCCCCGCTACACACACACTCATATATATATATATATTGTGTACACTCCATTATCTGTGACGCAGAATACACAGTAGCACACACGCAGGCACAACAAATCCACATGGGCACTTGGCCCTCTCTAACGAGGGTCATTTCTCGCCATTGAGCTGAAACATCTTCCATTCTCGTAAAACATCTCCAGTTAGCCTCCTGCAACCTTTTGTGCTAACACACTGAAGAACATTCACATTTTTTCTGCAGCTGATATTTCTCTCGCCGTGTCTCGCCCTGCTGTGAATTTCTGTTAAGTCCTCATTGCTAGGAAACGGAAGAGTTCATTAAGAGAGAAAAGACTTTAGACAGACAGTGTAAAAGGTTGAAAATGTAAGAAGGTTTGGGACCTGCAGGTTAAGACAGTTTGAGTTGAGATGAGTATGCAGCAGTCTAACATGATTTTTTGTTCTTGTATTGTGTCTTGTAGGGCTTATTCGTGATGGTGCTCTGTATGGACAAGAAGCTGTGCCATGACAGAGGGCAACGCGGGTAAAAGAGACATGCGACACCCAGCCCCGCAGCACTGCCACCTCATCCTGGGTGGGGCCTTGGTGCTTCTCCTGGTCAGCACAGCCCTGAGCTGCCCCGCCCGATGTGAGTGCTCCGCCCAAAGCAAGTCGGTTAGTTGCCACCGCAAGCGCCTGCCCACTATCCCCGAAGGCATCCCCATTGAAACGCGCGTCCTGGACCTCAGCAAGAACAAACTACGCATCGTCACTCCAGATAACTTCTCTTCATTCCAGCAGCTGGAGGACCTGGATCTCAGTGACAACCTCATCAGTGTGGTAGAGCCTGGCTCATTTCGCTCTCAGCTTGCTCTACGTTCGCTAAGCTTCCGCAGTAACGTGCTTCAGCTGGTTCCTGCTGGTGTTCTATCCGGCCTGACCAACCTCACCCGCCTTGACCTCAGCCACAACCGACTGGTGGTTCTCCTGGATCATGCCTTCCAAGATCTGCGCAGGTTGACATCCCTGGAGGTGGGTGATAATGAGCTAGTTTTCATCTCTCAGCGGGCTTTTACAGGATTACTTGGACTCCAAATTCTGATCCTGGAACGTTCCAACCTGACCGTGGTCCCTACTGATGCCCTAGCACATCTGCACAGCCTGGTCGAACTGCGCATGCGCTACCTGAGCATTAGTTTTTTAAAGCCTTTCTCCTTTAAGAGGTTGTCTCATCTCCGCAGACTAGAGATTGATTACTGGCCCTGGCTGGACTCGCTACCCCCCCTCTCACTGCATGGACTCAACCTCACAATGTTGTTCATAACCAACACAAACCTGTCTGCCTTCCCCGGCGCAGCGCTGCGTAACCTGCCCTACCTCACACATCTCAACTTGTCTAACTGTCGCATCCAGCACATCCATCAGGGAGAGCTGGGCCAACTCCCACATCTGCTGGAGCTCCGCCTCCAAGGGGCTCAGCTGCTTTCTATTGAGCCGTTTGCTTTTGTGGGCCTCAAATCGTTGCAACTATTGGATGTGTCACAGAACCGCCTGGACTCTCTGGAGAGGGGAGTGTTTGCCTCACCAGAGAGCCTCCAGAGGCTTTGTCTGGGAGGAAACCCATTAGTGTGCGACTGCAGATTGCTTTGGCTGCTCAATAGCCACAAGCCCCCCTCTCTGCAGATTCTGGATGTCCAGCCTGAATGCACCGCCCCCGAGCACCTCCTTGGGAAAAACCTGCGTGACCTCAAGGAGCCTCTGGTGTCCAGGTACATGACCTGCACTAAACCACGGATTGGGCCCAACACGACCCAGTTGCTGATGGCTGATGAGGGTCAGCCTGCCCGCCTCAGCTGCATGGCAGAGGGAGCGCCGCAGCCCTCTGTGGTCTGGATTACACCTCACAGACGCTATGTCACAGCCAAGAGCATTGGTAGGGTGGAAGTCCAACCAGATGGTACCCTGGAGATCAAGGCAGCAGAGCTGCATGACAGCGGGGTGTACTTGTGTATTGCCAGTAACCCTGCTGGCAATGCTAGTCTGTCAGCCTCTTTAGCTGTGAGGAGCCTGAGTATTGGGGACAGATCTCCCTACAGCAACAGGAGCTCAAACTATTTGACAGACTCTAACAGCACATGGGGGAATGGGACAGTACTGTATAACATGACAGTCCCTATAGACATTAAGACTATCATTATATCTACAGCCATGGGCTGCCTGTCCTTCCTAGGTGTTGTTGTGTTCTGCTTCCTGCTTCTGTTCGCCTGGAGCCGGGGGAAAGGACGCCATAAGAGCAACTTTGATATTGAATATGTCCCTCGCAAATCCAACGGGGCAGCAGCTGAGGTGACAGAAACAAGCGGCCCGAGACGGGTCAACATGAAAATGATTTGATCATACGATAACAACACAGTACACACATATCAGTTAAAAAAATGTTTTTTCTATAACACAGTGGATTTGTGACAAACGACATTGATGTACTATTATAGTGGGTGTCAATATGACGGTGATCTAGTGAAAAAGTGGACATGTGAATATACAAAGTGATACATGAAACTGTGGACGTGTTTATATGAAATAATGTTCTCATAAAGTACATTGAATATACTAGTATAACCAACATATCAATATGGGAGTGATATAGTGCTGCACTAGGCATGTGTTTCAGTGGTGATGTGATGAGTAATGATGTTGTCGACTCACCGTGACATCAAGGTGAAGGAAGGAGCCGCTGGGAGTGACAGGGGACATCTTCGCGTGGCAGTAGAACTATCATCGCTGCAACATGTCAGAACTAAATTGTCTAAAACCCATTTTAGCTGCAGTGTGAAAGGGGTGCGTGTTGTGTTCATGTGTGCGCGCATGTGTGTATGCGTGAGTGCATCGGTGTGCGCATGTTGCATTCGTGTGTTTCTTTGTGCATGTGCACGCATTGCCTTTCTTGTTGGACAGAACAATGAAAATGAATGAAAGGGTCCAAAGCATTTTTCCAGGCCTTTGTTCTTGTTGGGTCATTGTAACAACAGTATTGTCAATGTTGAGTAAAACAAAGGATTATCTATGTTTGTATGCAAACTCACAATGATCATATTCAAGAGAAATGCTGCATAAATTTTGAAATAGGTCACTGTCCCCTCTGGAACGACTCCAACAGGGATTTTTTTAAACTCAAGGAAATGTTAGTGTGAAACCCAAGCTTTGTCTTTACTATAGAGCTCACTTTGCACTGGACACGTTTCCTGAGAAATAGCAGTAGTCAGTGGTGTTATTACTCTGGAAAGGCTTCCAGCTATAGAAATGGCATGTTAAACCCACTGTATACATCATAATAAATCATGGGCAGATTTTCCTGCCACACAAATCCCTTGATATAATATAAAAGAGACTGTGACCAGACACAATGGCAAAGATTTACCGTCTGGTGCCCTCTTTGGGACAAGACAAAGTTGATCTTCACAGATTTATAGGTTGAATTTCCCAATTCCCCACCTCTTGCATTTTTCTTTGATCGCGCCACTCCAAGCTAGCGTGACGGGATTCTTTCCTGGGGCACCAAGGGGTTCTGGGTATTTATTAGATGGCAATTTGAAAGTTGTAGTGGAATCTTGTATTGTTTAGTTTTTTCTTCTTTTTTTTGAAAATGTTTTCAATGTTTATGGGGAAAAAATTAAATTAAGGGTTAATTATTTGTATTGCAGGGACGTGGGTGTTAAACTTGTGATCTTGTTGTGATAAAATGTCCAAGGTTGTATAATTGTTTTCATATGACAAATTTATGGGTATATTTTCAAATTGAAATAAATCTTAATCATACCCCTAAGATTTGAGTCCTAGTAGTTTAAATTTTGTTAAGTGACTTGAGTGGTGTTTTAAATTATCTATATTTAATAGTGTTTTTATGTTAGGCCTACTCATTATTTCTTATTCTACTATAATGTATTTTATTTAAAAGTATCTACAAGTAACTACCTTAAGTGATTTGATTTCTCTGTTAGGTATTGTAGGAATACAGCACAGTACTGACTTTAACAGTGACATTTCCCCTCACATGGTCAGAACAATAGACAGGACCCCATCCGTCTGTTTATGTGTCCTTGGACCCTTTCGGCTGTTTTTACAGCGAACTGTATATGTCATGTCTGAAAAGGTAAAGAGGCTGATAAAAGAAGAAATGATTCATCTTCCACTCAGATGGCACTGGTATTAATACACTCGTAAACCTTGAGCCATATATATTCATTTTCTTTAAAGGTTATAATCTAAATTTGTCCATGAATTTTGGTTTATGAACAGGTAGCAACACAATTTACGACATTCCCATCAGCCTCAGCTCTACCTTGTAGCTCAGTGCTAATTAGCATTATTTTTTTTCTAAATCAGGACTATAAAGGGGACACAATTTATGTTCCTCCTCCATACTCAATTCCTGATTCAGTAAGGTGCAGGTCATTCCTTGTTTACTGTGAACTGAATAGCTTTGAGCAAACACATCTCTGAATATATTTTGAAAATATTCTTTCTTCAAGCACATTTTGAACTTCAGAAAAAGCCAGTATCCTCCTGGCCCCACCCCTGGATCTGCCACTGAACAGAAGTTTAAAAATGACACATTGTTAAAGCTTGATAATCAGGCGTTCCTAATTCTTTCTACTGCAGCCATGATAAATTGTGATTATAACAAAAATTAGATGTAAAAACGGGGATAAACTTAACTTGTATTATAGTAGAGGATAAAATAATCCATGTTTATTAATGCAAACATAATTTATAGTTAATCCCATTTATTTATAGACCATATTACATAAATTATTGGCCGTGTGAAAGAAGTATTAAAACAGGATTTTCCCTCCAATTCCTCAAAGTGTCGGTCGCCCACTTGAGCTGTATTTGTATCTATTGTGTCTGGACAAATATCCAATATCTAATATAAAAGAGGACACAGTCAGTGCCCCTGTAATTTAAAGAGGCAACAAAAATCATTTACAATCATCAAGTCCAACTGAAAAAAATACGTTCACAAAACAACATTGTCATATCCGCAGCCTGAGCGGTCTGCTGCTGAGGAGCAGGCTCACAGAGTCACTCGTGTGGCTATAGATAGAAACCCCCCTCCCCTGCACCCCCACACTCTACCTCTCACATTGCTGCTTTCAGACATGCACTGAACTCTAGATAATCTCGGGACATTCTCTGGAGAGGCTGTATGTGAGAACACGAATGTCAGAGTGAGACGCTCCGGATTCTCTCCCCAGTTCCTCCTGCCAGCCCCTTGAAAACTCCAGAGAATGTCCGAATGAGCTCATCCGCAGGATTCACCGCACTGGAGCGCATGATGTCTCCAACACGCAACAGACGCAAAACTGAATAAAACTAAAAGAATACAAATATCTCAAGATGAAAAAGCGGTGCCATGCACGTCGACACCATAGACGAAGAGCTTTTGGTGATAAGGGCCAACGCTGGGGTGGGAGTGCAAAAAACCTGTGATCTCCACAACAGAACTCTTCCTCTGCATGCTGCACCACCCCTCTCCAGAGATGTCTGTGCTGCTGGAACACGTCTCAGTGCTGCATTTTTTCATGTGTGACAGGCAACCTCCGGAGAAAGTCCGGACAAAATATTCAGACATCCCCCAGAGCTGATGCCTGAAAACAGCTCTGGTTTGGATTTCCTGTAATCGGCAGGTCTCCTCACACAGCAACAGGGTTGTGGAATTGCTGACAACTTCTATCGTGTGAAATCTTGTACAATCTGCTAAGTGGTTGCACATTCTGAAACCTGACTGTGCACCGCGCTTTCATGTGGCCCAGGTGGGAATTGGGCAAACTGCGATTCTACTGCTTTTTATGATGATCAGAGGACGTCAAAACTGGGACAGGTGTGGATAAAAAGAATCAGAATTGGAACGCTTTATGATGCAAAGTATATCTCGTCCAAATAGCCTGACAGCAAGTGACAAATGCCATTTTATATGACCCGACACGTGGTTAAAGTGTTAAACCTATGACCTCCCTGAGGCCAAATCAGTGTATCCTCAGCCAGGCCACATGCATCAGGGAAAGCAGCTCTGAAAAGCTGCCTTCCTCACTTCCTCAGCTGACAATCAGATAAATGCTAATTGGCTTCCTGCTCCAACAGAAAGCTTCTATTTTTTTTATGTTATCGTTGCAAGTTGTAAAAAGAATTTCCGTCTTTGTGCGTGAACGCTCACTCGGAATATTCCGGCTGCTAATCAAGCGTTATACGAAGACAAGATCAAAGGGCCTCCAAAAGGCTTTTATTATTTTTGTTGCAGCTGTAGACGACGCTGTAAACAATCGAGAGGAAATGTAATGAATCCATTACTGTCGAGTTTCCTCTGCACTGTATCTCAAAGACGGAGGATTTCTGAATCGCTTCTCTAATGACAGGAGCTTACACGAGTGGTTAACATGTGTGATTTCTATTAGAATGAAAACAATCCTTCAGCTCAGTGATTTGGCAAAGAAAAACCCTGTTATTAGCTTGGTTTTTACACTTGAACCATCACTTACTGCAGTAAATACACTCATGCGCACCTAAATGAATAATTATTATAATCATATAGGATCTTCAAAGAATCTAAAGAATCTGACACTAACCTCGCTGCTCCATCAAAGAGAATGAATCAAAGTAACTCTGAGTGGAGGCGCCTGAATGCAGCATCAGTGTTGAGTTTAACTTGGCTGTTAAAGAGATGCTTCATCACACTTGACATCCAGGTTTCCATGCTTTCACAACACGGGAATTGCCGACCACTGATTGCTATTAAAAGAGTTTTTCTGGCTGAGTTTGGTGATTTTGCAGTGAGAGCTTTCATTTTATCTCTCCTCCAAAGTCAACTTTTGCACTTTCTACCCACACAACCCCCAGCGGACAGAAAATGATTATGCTACATATTAATTGTGAGTCCAAGAGAGATATGATATTCTGCGTGTAGCTGCCTGTTTTAGACTTATACCTTCTGATCAAATCGAGGGGGGTTCCATCTCTGTTCTGATGATTTAAAGACCTTGGAAAGGAATTAAAATTAAAAGCAGCATATTTGGAGATTTTTAAACAGTTTTTTGTGTTTCTGTATCTGTGTTTTTATCTGCATTTTGCTCTCTGGTTAAGTGGGCAAGACATTGTTGGAATAAGATGGTGTCACATCTCCGTCATTCTCACTCATCATTGAATATAATTTGTATATTATTCCTTGTTCAAACACATTGTGCACTACAAAAAAGCTTAGAAATTAAAAAATTCTGAGCAAATGTTTATATTTACTGTTAGTGTTACTAATCAGATTTGAGCTGGTGCCATCGCCCTTGGCCACACCCCTGAATCTGCCCCTGAACGTGATAAAAAAGATGTTTATTGATGACTTATCTTTTTGCACATTTGTTCATGAAAAGTTAAATAATAAATATTTTAGATCAAACCTTAATGAGTTTCAAAGCTCAATTCTAGTGCAACCAGAACCCAACTAACATTCTGTGTTTTATGTCCTAACCTTACCTGAGCCTGAAACAGTTAATGTAACTTTAAACACTGAAATTGTGTAACTATATCACACAGTTGTTGTTGCAGCTAGCTTGTTTAGCCTGATGACATGTGTGAGCACCCTGTAAATGACTATCAAATGTTTATAGCCTTTATTGTTCAGCCGCACCGAACCCCAACATCAAGGCAAGGCTACAGGCGTGGGGGGGCTTAGATGTCCAACCTATAGTACATTTGAAGGTAAATTGATTCTGAAACACTGTCAGGAAAAACTACTTTTTTGCATGTCTTAGGCACACAACACAACCAATCATTTTATTATGACCAAATGAAATGAAGAAATGGCCAAACATGTCTGTCACTTATCAACCTCCCTGCCTACATATACACAAACACTGCCAAAGAAGAGATGATAGCCAGAAGTCGTTGCATTTAGCTTTAGACTGTAATGGAGGAAATTCCTGTTTACAGAAAATTAGGTAAGATAGTAAAATAGTAGATTCAAATTGTGGGAAATGAACATCTATTAAACTTTTACAGATTCTTTTACATGTCCACCATGTAGAGAGGAGTTTGCCCTCAAGAGATTCAATTTCATATTAAATCTATTTTAATCCAGACTTTCATCACAACTTTCAACCTTGGAACCAAACTTACAAAGATACTGACCTTCTTCTAAACTTCCTGAGCCTTAGATGTGTTACCAATCATTATCACGGCTACATTTCACTTTGTGTCTCCTGCACACGTTGTTGCCGGTTTGATGTGCACTTCACTTTGACCCAGATCGATAAAAAATATTGGAGTTTGGTGCAGTGGCTCTTCCCGGTGCCCTGGGACAGGCCAATGATGTACAGACGATAATGAAAGGTCAGTCACTAATCGAGCTGGCCTGCAGCCGAGAACAGGTTCACACCACGCGGGACCCCTGAAGGCCCTCAGGGAGGAGCTGTAAAAGTGTTATTGCCTGTTGGGTTTGATGGTGCTGGTGTTGTACTGTTATACTAGAGGCTGCTGCTCAAAAGCCACATAGTTGATCTAATTCTCCTCAGACCACAAATCAGCACGGGAGCCCTCCATCTGCACTCATCTCCTAGCTCATGAAAAGAATTAAGAGATTAAATACTGCAGTCATTGGCTTGTATGATCACTTACAACTAAGAAATAAAAAGACAAGAAAAAGCATTCATTTCATCGATTTATTTTGTTGCCATTTTGGAGAATATGAACATATTTTTCATACCCGACGTA